TAACTATTTCCTCCAAATTTGGTTTAACTATAATTATTTAAATGTGGGGATATTCTATTATGGGTTTACTATTTGTTGACTATAGTGTATATATTTTATATATTATTAGTGAATCGAATGATGATATCTCATTAATTAAGTGAATCAGATGATGCTGTCTCATTAATAAATAAGTTTTTAAAAAATTAAATTTTTTATATTTATTTCAAAAGTTGATATTTATTCATTAATGAGTTAGTATCACAGTGTATATAATCTATACATAAATTCTATACATTATCGATTAACCAATGTTAGGCATCTTATAAAAGTTTATATTTAATGTATTGTGAATATATAGATTCTATATATTGTTAGAAAAATAGATAATGTTATCTCATTAATAAAGACTTTTAAAATAAATATCCAAAACCTTAATTTTTTAAAAAGATGTTTTTGTCATAAGTTGTCATTATTTAGTTCATTGATAATATATAAAATTTATATACTGATAGCGTATCAAATACAAACTATCTTAATAAATAAATTTTAAATTGTAAAAGTCTTAAAAACTAAATAAACATAAATTTTGTGTGAATACTTATTTTCTCTTACCTTTTGTTAATTGTCAACATTCGCTCACCTTCCTACTATGCAACCCTCTGCTGCCCATCCAGCAGGGTTCAAGTTTCCAAAGTTGTAGAAGGTTAGGCTTGGATTAAAGGTTTAGGAGGTTTTGAAGTCTCATGGATTGTTCACGGTGTATGAGATGGAACCGAAAGAATTGTTTGAAACGATTTCCCAAGCTCTCCTTTCAACAGTAGATCGTGTCTTAGGGAGTACATGTCCATGTTGTCACACCTACAGAAGTAAGGGAAAGAATCTTGAAGGGAAGGATGAATTGAGTGCAGCCAGGTGTCTTCAAGTTCACTGCCAAACTACAAAACTTTCGGTTTATTTGTCATTCGCTAGTGCTCGAATTCGATGTACTCTATAAATTCTAAAAAAATTGAGTAAGTTCTAAAAAAAAAAAAAAGGAATGAACCTTTAAAACAAATTCACTCGAAACTTTTAAAATTGTTTATTGTGTATGAGATTTTTTGAGGCCTATGGATGGTTTTACATAAGAAAAATTTGTTTCATAGAAGATAATTTTGGATTAGAAGTGTGCAATTTTTTGCTTTTTGATTGCAAATAATTAATTTTTTAATTTAGGATATAATATTTAATATGGATGATTATTTTAAAAATTACGATGATTTACACAAATAGATTAAATTACTATATTTAATAAGCATTTGATAGTATTATATAACAATAATCTTAAATTATCAAAAGTGATTAAATCATTACTTATTAAATGAACAAATACATCCAAAAAGAGGAAACTATTATCATCGAGGCAAATGATTTTTCAAATTAATAATATTCAATATTACTTATTTGATATATGAATTAAAAATTAAAAACTTATTTGCTTTAAATATTGTAATTATTTCATATTATAAATTTTTTTATTTTTAAATTAATATTCATTATAATAAGTTCAAAAATAATTTATGTTTTTGAAATTTTTTTATATTTTATATATAATATAATTGTTATAAGTTTTATTTTCCAATTAAAATATTTTTTACATGATTTATAGTATAAAAATTAATTTATCCATCGATAAATATATTTGTTTATTTAATAATTTAATTATTTTTATCATGAAATAAATAAGATGTTACTAATATTTTACAAATTATCATTTTTAAATAATACTTAAATTATTAATTTATGTAACTATTATAATATATATGGTTATTTTAGTATTTGTGAACAAAATAACATATAACTTTTAGTAATATCAAGCCAAATGCTTTTTAATTTTTAAAAATTAATGATTGTTAATCAAACAAAGCGATTCTAAATCAGAAGGATAAGATCATCGTAATAACGAGATAATCTTAGTGATAAGATTACGATATTAATATTGAAAATAATATCAAATACTACCTAAAGTGAAAGAAAATAAAAAATAAAAAATTATTTTGTCTCATTAAATATTTAAAAGTTATGTATAATTGTATGTTTATTTTGTTGGACTTGTAATTTTCAAATTTTCTCCTTGAGGTGTCTACATTTGATTAATTGATAGTGTATAAATTTTATATTGCATCAAATATAAATTTTTAATTAATCTATTTAATTGTATGCCATTGCCAAGATCGAAGGATTTTTGGGTGAGGTGATCCATAACTTAATTTATAAGACTATGCTTATCCTTCTTGTCCTTTCCACGATTAATTTTTTTCTCCCTTTTATTAATTTTTAAGGGATTGCACATATAATATATATGATCATGCTTGCGGTTCTTCTAAGTAGTTATCCACTCTTTTATTTATTTATTTATCGAATTTCGCAATGCAAACCCGTTACGGTTACTTATTTTGATATTAGTTATGGTTTAAAGAAGACTTATCTCACATTATATATGCTAAACTGATTAATAAGTGTACGTGGCATAAACACAAATGATCTATAACTATATAATTATTTCCTCCAAATTTGATTTAACTATAATTACTTAAATGTTGGGTTTTTAATTATTACTTATTGTGACCTCATCACAAGTATAAATAATACTAATAAAATAAGTAATAGAGTGAGCTGCATCAACTGGTGTGTATCTTAATATTAAATTTAAACAACATTTAAGATTGTTTTAAAAACTTATTAGATATCTGTTGATTAATCGGAAGTCTTTATTTATGCTTGAGTATCTAACACTCCAGTCAAAATTAATCAGTGCCAATCACAGTATTCGATTTCCAAATTTTTTTTTTCTATTTCAATTCTTTTATTTGCTCTATGTTTAAGATGTAAAATATCTTACTATAGTGATCTAATCTTCAACTGGCCAAAAAAATTTGATCTATTCTTTATAGGGTTCTGATTCGTGCTATAATTTTATATATGTTTTGCAATTCTATTTGCGCTTTGGATCTGCCTCCCTAATTGCTTAATTAAGAAAAAATAAAAAGCAAATAAAAATATCAATAGATTTGCAAGTTGCAAAAGCCAACAAGTTAAAAAGTAATTATCAAAATTAATCTAAAATTTAATTTAATTGATTTATACAAGATAACATTCAACAAATCATGTGATTCAAATGCTAATACTTACAGTTTTTTTAATAAAAAATGTCATTATTAGAATAATTACTTAATAATTTATTACTTTATTCAAATGGATGCGGTCATTAATTATTTCTTTGTTTACTAGTTAAAGAATTCAAGTTTTTTCTTCAGTAAAAAAGTTCCAAATCCGAATTGATGGTATTCAGTGAGAGAGGTAATTCACAATATCTATATCTAAATTGGGTCAGCATCCAATGTTCCTTGTAAATGAGAACAAAATATTAAAAGAGACAGATGAGAAAAAAAAACAATTTTTTTAAGAAAGAAATACTTTTAAAAATCATGCAAAAAAAAAAAAAAACAAACAAACAACAATTTTTTTATATTTAAAATTATTAAGATTTAAATTTTAATAATTAAAATAAAAAATTTAATATTTTATCAATAGACTAAATTGTTGATAAAATCCCGAAGTTTTTAATCCTACTACATATATAATAATATTTTAAAACAATATAAAATAATTAAATGGATGGACTGGACCGAAATTGAGCTCGGCTTAAAAAAAAGGGCAGAGTTAAATAGGGCAAATCCGGAACTGAGTTCACCTCATGGACACCCGTATGGACCAATAACTTCGATTGTTTTTTGGCAGATAATATCTTGGAGCTTGATTCTTCGGTAAAAGACACAACAACCCTAAATCAAATGGCCCAATTAATGGGCCTGATATGCTCTATAAATACTGAGCAACAAAAATAAGAGGGGAAGCTATGGTCCACTTTTGTAGATCGGATGAAATTCAATTTTGCTCCACTTCGTTGCATGAGTGTACTCTGTCTTAATTTAAAAATGTCTTTGCTTTTCCTCTAAAAAACCTTTTTTTTTATGGTGTTCATGTGAGTATAGGCTAGAACTTTTCATTGATTTTCTCTCAGAGCCTACGCTTATCGGGTTCATGGCCCGAGCAGCTATCATTATTTTCTTTGTTGAAAAGCTTTCATGAAATTGTAGTTACTTGATTTCGACTATTAATCCTTATCCTTTTCTATTTCCCTAAAATTGCTTTACAAAAATCACATTGTTGTAAAAGTTAAAAGTCAGAACAAATAATAAAATTATTTCACTGAAGATTATTTCACCTAATAATACCTTTTTGGGTACATCATTTTTACAGAACAATACTTTTATCAAAAGTTTTTTTAACTAAAAATTATTTTACAAAAAATACATTATCGAATATTATTTCATCAAAAGAAAGTAAAAATAATCTTGGGATATAACAAAATTTTTGGTTAATTTCATTGTTGGAAAGCTTCAGAGAATTTAATTAAGTGAATTATATATAAAAATACTTTAGATTTTACATCTTAATCTTTCTTTAAAGTATTAATACTTCTTTTTTTTCCAAAACAAGTAATAATTCTTATGTTTACTATTAACTATCACCATAAGTAAATTCTCAATAAATAAAGTATTAACACTCTTATAACTTTAACTTTTACTTACATTTTTATTCAATACTCAAAATATATATAACTTCAATTTTTACTACCATTTCTATTCAATACTCAAAATATATCTCTTATTCTAAAAGCTAAGGCCCTATAAATAAGAGTTTTTAGGACTTTTGAACTTTTTGACAGATTTCTCAAATTCTCCCAACAAATTCTATATTTCCCAAACTTACAAATGCTGGTAATGACTCCAAATGGAAAGGAAAGAATTGAAGATGAATGGAAGAAGCAATTGAAAGGAGGTTACTCTCAATACAAAATCATCAAAATCCCTTCTTTTCTATCCATCATAGAAGCCTACTTAGACTAATGATTTAGTGAGTTTGAGTGACAAACTAAGTAAAAGAAAAAAAACTTTAATAAGACCAAAATAATTTAATTTGCAGCATTTGTGACTTCATGTGTCTTGAGTGTAAAAAGAAATGGGTTGGCTTAAACATGTTTGATCCAATTTGAAATGTCAGTCGTCGCCTCTCTGTTCCATTTTCATTTAAAAAACCGAGAATATTGAAAGGTTATTATAAGGGCCCGCATTTACATTGAATATGATGATTTTTCTATCGCTAAATTGAGTTGGACTAGAGTTAAACTCCAAGGATTGCAAAATTCAATCCAGCTAGAAGCCATCCATAGCCCAGCCCATATATTTTTTCATTTTCAGTTTTTTTTTTAATTAAAAAAAAAGTAAATAACAAATAGCAAAAATATCAATAAAAACTTTCATATTTATAATAATCTAAGTAATTATAGATTTTCTCTATAGGAAGGTCGCTAACAGCTACCAAAAAGAAAATTTTTTCAAATAAATATATGGCATGTTTACATGGGGCAGCAAAAGAAAAGTGTAATAGCTGGTCATGGGGCTTGATTCTGATTTGCTTACTCCAATTTTGGCTGCTATTATTGATTGGCTAAACGAATTTCTCCATCTTCTTGCGAACTAAAACTCACTCGCTTCTGCAAATTTGAAATGAAAAATTATTAACATTAATTTTTAGTTGATTGAATATAACGTTTGAACATGACATATTGTATTGAGAGTAAAATTTTAATATGCTGTAGCAAAAAAAAACAAATTGACTATTTGCACAAAAAAAAAAAAGCAAATTGAATATGACAAATAGGGAATAAAATTAACAAATTAGAAAATTAATGAAGAATAGATCAAAAATAAAAGAAATTTTTTGAAAAGTTCAAAATTCTAGGCTTTTATATCTTTCGGCATTTTTCTCTCTTGAAACAAAGAAAAGGCAAAAGGAACAAAAGAACAACAGTAAAAAGGTTTAGCTTGACCAAAACTTTATATATATATATATATATATATATTAATTAATGAGTTCAAAAGTCAATTTTGGGTTCTTTCTATTTTGGTTGCTAATGGTTGATTCTAAGTTAGGATTTGGATCATCGAAACCAAGTTCAATTCTAGAATTCATGACATTATAATAATACAAAAACAAAATATCACCGTGAATCACGGATAGATCAATATACAAAAACAAAATATCACCGTGAATCACGGGTAAATCAATATTGTTCTCTTTCTTCATCACCAATGGCAATTCTTACAGTAAAATTAAAAAAAAAAAAAATCGTTTCACATTATTTGTTTGTTTGATTTTTATGGTCAAATTAAATTAACTTCGACTATATAGTGTGAAATTAAAGTTTTAAAAAATAAGTTTTGAATAGTTCTAAATTCTAACTTCTACACTTATAATTTTCAAATTTTATATCTGAAATTTAAATTCTATATTATATATTATGAAAAATAATGATAAAAAGTTAATTTAATATTTTATCTAAAAAGTCAAACATTAAGAAACAATTAATTTAAACACTTAAAACATTTTGCATATAAAAAATGTTAGATTTATTAAATGAGTTTGAATAAAAAATAAGACTCGATTTAAAAATGAGTCTAACCTTGACTCCAACATTTAAGGCTCGAGATAAAATTGATTTGGATCAAATTATATAATATATATTTTTATATTTATACATATCATGTAATTATATGTATGCATATTATATAATTTATATTATGAAAGCATAAATATATAAACATGTTGCGCAAATTTCAAAAAGAAATTTTAAGTTATTCATAGTTTAAAATTTATTTAAAAAGTACAAAAGATTAAATAAAAATATCATTTTTTTAAAATAGTTATCTCCTTAGATTATACTATTTGATAATTTGAACGAGTATAGATAAAATTTGAAATCTAAATTATCAAATTAATTTAAATTTAAACAAACAAATAAAGTGTTGATACCATATTTAGATCCAATCTGAACTTGGTCATGACATCTCTATTCACATATATAAAGTGGGGGAAAACTACAAATAAATCATGACAATTTTGAGGAACAAATTGTGACCTCATAAGTTAGTGATAGATATATACTTTCATGGTGCCGGAAAACAAAAAGTTTATTTATTTATTTATTTATTTGGTTAATGCTTACACATCAAACAAAAGAAAAACGGTCAGATTAGTTTCATAAAGTTTTCAATTGTTCCATGGTCCCTAAAGGCTAATATTATAGATTTTGGTAAAGTGACATTTCTAGAATTGGTGAGTAATAAAATATCACACATTTGAAACTATTCGTATTTTGCAGATATCTAAAGTTGACCAATCTTCTGGCTAGCTACCAAAACGACAAAGTTCCTTGATCGCATGCATTGCATCAAACCATTTATCTTATTTTAAAGAACGATTTTCCAGCAATTAAGCCCACTAAAATATGCCTTAAGTATTCCAAATTAGCAACATGTAGGCCCAAAATCCATCCAAAATTCTGGGGTTAGCCTTACATATGCACTACATATATTTTCGTGCAATAAAGTTTACCTAATTTTCCAGGATCTTTTAGTTTGAAATTGATTGAATTAAATTATGGAACATAAAATTTTTTTATCAATTTTAAAGAAAACATAAAATATTTATCAATTTTAAAGAAAATTAACATACCTCACGTGTGGCCTTAAAATTTTCTCCAATACCACCACGGCCTGGTTTCGATGGTGCTAGCCGGTGCGTTTGGTTATCGATATCGCCGCCGGTGTTTTCCATATAAAGATCAAGGATCTTCTCAGCCACCTCTACACCATCTCTGCTCTCCTCCACTAACTTGGCCATTTGAGACCTGGGCAACCTCATTTTCACGGTCATCCCCCTGGAACCCGGTCCGAGTCCATCAGACCCAAGACTCGATGATGGTCTAATCATGGAAACGTCAGAAGCTGATCTCCTCGACAACATCAAGCACTCCAACCTGTCCTTAGCACTCATATGAATCCCTCCCGAACGTACCCTCCTTGGTGCCTTTTCTTCAGGAAACTTTGGCAACTCTACCAGGAAGTAAATTTTCTTAGGCTTCAAATCCTGTTGTGGCTCTAATGGCTTAGCCCGAATTCCAAAGTGCTTTACAGCCTCTGAATCCAACAAAACATGCCCTGGATAATCCTTAACTACATCCCAAGCTCGAATTGGAGTCTTTAACTTGAATGTTTCCCCATCAATTTTCATCACCTTTGCCTTCTTTCTTCCTCCTATGCTGTTCCCCATTTCCTTGTAGTTAGTATACTACAGAAATGCTCTTCTTGTTTTCACCCTGAAGTCGGTATAGAGTTTTATTTTTAAGGCATGAAATTTATATATGAAGATAATTGAAATTGTTTAATTGCTGTGGGAAGCCATAGTGTGAATTTGGAGAATTCTATAAAGATTCCAAAAGATATTAGTTTCATGATGACTTTTTGTGAAAAAGTGGGCAAACTCAATTCCGTTTAGGACGTTTTCCTGTTTTGATTGGTGGAGACAAAGAAAAAGGCAATTGATTTGGCCAAACCAACGTTTAATCACTATAGACTTTTTCCTTTTTATATTTTGGATGTTAAATTTGGCCATTCAGCTAAAGTAGTGGGTCGATTTCATATTAATGTCACATCATTTCCATGAAAACTAAGACGCTGTGGGTTGTAAGAATGGGACTCCAGTGGGCGTGGTTGGATAACCTTAGAAACAAGGATAAGAATGAATTCGAAAACAAAAAGGGTAATATTTGGGATTGATCAAGGCTAAAACGGGAAAATTGACAATGACTTGATCTAGTTAGTGATGTGGTTTAGGATTAATATTCTTTAATGGCGATTTAAATCAATCTTAGTTGTAATATAAGAATAAAAAAAAATCGTAAATGTTAAGATTTAAATTTTAAGTTTATTGAATATTATTTTTTAAAAATAATTATATTATTCAACTAAATTTAATGTAATTACTCCATTATAAAATTGTCATTTTAACTTTATAATGTTTGAAATCGACATCTTAACAATTAAATTTTGATTCTCAATTTGAAATGTCGAGTTTCAATATTAAGATAGATTTATGAAGGTTACATTTTAATTCAAATTTTACATATATAACCAAAAAAATTATATGAAAAGAAAAGGTGAAACCAAAATTAACTATTAGAATAATAAATTCTTTTAGGTTGCATTTGGTATGACTTTTAAAAATTATTATAATAATTTAATCACCGAAATAATCTTATTACTCAAATGATCTTATCAATTGTAATATGGAATCACTTTATTTCGTTAAAATCATTAATTATTAGTAATTAATGATCATTGAATTTAATATTATGTAAAATCAAATATTATTTTATTTGAAAGTATCAAAATAACCATGCGCATTAGAATAATTACACAAGTTAATGATTTCAATATTATTTAAATATAATAATTTGTATATAAAATATTAGTAATATTTTATTTACTTCATAATAAATATAATTAAATTATTAAATTAAAAATATATTTATTGATAGTAAACTAGTTTTTTACAGTATAAATTATGTGAAAAGATATTTGAATTAGAAACTAAAATTAATATATTAAAATGAAAGGATTATATTACAAATAAATTTTAAAAAATTAAAAAAATCACACAAAATATTTTTAAACTTATTATAATAAATATTAATTTGAAAATATAAAATCATATATATATATATATATATATTATAACATACATAGTTACCAGATAAGATTTATTGAAGTGGATACTTATGTGGACAAATTTTTTTGACATGTAAGAAAATTATTAAAATTTATCTTTATAATGATACGTAAGATTTAAAGATATTTATTAAAAGAATATATTTAAAAAATTATTTAACCATTCAAAACTTTCAAAATTTAGTCTTATTTGTATATTAAATCCAAAATTCAAATATGACTTAAAATTCAATAGTTTTTCGTTCGAACATATCGTGGTTTATTGACTTCTTTGATTTTTTTTATACAGCCTTTTAATTATTTGACTTATCTTGGTAACTACTAATTATCCGTTTGAATTTTTTTGTTTCGATAATTGCCAACTTTTTTACCGTCATCTCTTGTATGATTTTAAATGAAAGGTATCTTATCTAAATTTAAATTTATAAGTAAATTTTAATTTAAAATTACATAATTTATCATAAAGATCATGGCATTATCATTAGAATTTCTTATTAACTCTTAATTTAAAACTTTAGTATTAAATTAATTGTTGCTCCTAACGTTTCTAATGCTTACACAATAGATGGACAGCCTGGTGATCTCTACCCCATGCTATCAAAACAGTAAGTGATTATGAATACATATCTCCATGCACGTACTCCATATCCATGCACGTACTCCATAATTTTTACATGTTAATTGATGTTTAATTTAATGATGTGGTTTCCCATTATGTACAAACTTAAGGTGGAGCAAGGGAAGATCTATCTCTTACGTGTTATCAACGCTGCACTCAACAATTAACTTTTCTACAAGATAGCCAATCATAAGATGACAGTTATCGCCGTTGACGCTAGCTAAACCAAGTCTTATGTCATCGACTTCGTGGTTATCGGCCCTGGCTAGACAGTCGACGTTCTACTAACCATCGATCAGTCAGTTTGGTCATATTACATGGTCGTAAGACTATATGCAAGCACAACTGGTGTACAGTATGAATTCCACAACATGCACATTATTTTTATTCATTTGTTTTCCTTTTACAGCACACATTTTCTAACAATTTTCATTTCTTTTTCAAGGGTTTTCATCAAGATTTTAGTTTAGTTAAAGTATGTCAATACCTTTTTATGATTTCCTTTTGTCTTTCAACTTTATTGTTTCAATATTTTGTAGTATTTTGATCAATATCACAATTTAATAAAGGTATGTCAATTCCACTTTTAATAATTCCACAAAATGCATATTATTTTTTATTCAATTCTTTCTTAAGATATTTCAATATTTTTTACTTAAGTTATTTCAATATTTTTTTATGATTTAATTTTCTCTTCCATTTATTCAATTCTTCATTCTTCTTTTTTTTTTTTTTTATACCATTTCTTAAGATATATTAAAATTTAATAAAAAGTAGTCATTGCATTTTTTATAATTTAATTACATTTTTTTTTTATATTTTTAGCTTGAGAAAAATATGCAATCTTTCTATGGACTCTCTCTCTCTCTCTCTCTCTCTATATATATATATATATATATATAAATTCACAGTCATTGGTGATGCATTGTATGAAAGTCTTATTTTTTTATGTTTTTTATTTGATCTTATAACATCATTTTTCTTGAAAAAGTGTATGTGAATTATCCACAGCTGAAACTTAGTTTCTCTTTTCTTTACAATCTTCAAAGAAATTGAAAAAAAAATAAACATGCAAAAAGAAATGAAGAAATGTTTGCAACATAATCACCCTGAGAGCAACCACTCTAAGAATAACAAAAGAGTCTCTAAAATAATAAAGAACAAGTTGAATTAATAATAGAGGATGTACATAATCAAACTTTTTTTTTCTTATTTGATGTTGTTGTTGCAATGGTAATATTAGTAATTATTTTGTGTCTTTTTCTTCATAATTTAAAATATATATTTTCTCAATTTAAAATCACACACATTTGTTGAATTAAATTTAAACAAATCTATCACTTATGATTTATTAACAATCTCTCATTTCTAATTTAAAATTGTAAACAATTATCTTTTTCACAAAAAAGAAGTTTTAGCATTTTTGAGGTACTTTCTATTTTTAATTTGCGGTAAAGATAGGTATATCAATTTAAAATTGTTAAATTTCTAATTTAGTATATCCTTCATCTAGGTTAATTGTAATTGATGGCAACTTTTTATTGTTTTCTTTATTCAGATTGAATATCATATTTAGATTTTTTTTTTTTTTGCTAGGTCGATTCTAAACTTGTGGATATTCCTATTAAAGTGCTATTAAATTAACAAGTCATGAATCATACTATTTTTTATTTTTTTTAGACAAATGATTTTTTTTTAATTTTTATTTAACATGTTTATGTTATTTTTATATTAAATGAAAATTAACGGGTGAAAATCTAAAAAAAAAAAAAGAATATAGTAATTATTATTATTATTATTATTATTATTATTAAATTCTTTTAATTTTCTAATTCAAAATTGGTAATAATTCAACCTCAATAAATCAAAATGACGATCATTTTATAGCCTAACTGTTATATATATTTTATATATACTTTAAAAATATAAATTAAATACTATTAATTTATGTATCTATAAATATTTAAATAAATAAAATTAATTCGTGTATTGCACGGGTCACAAACTAATTATAATATAAAATGATAATAATTAATTTTAAGAAATAAATTTTTAATTGACATATTATATGAGTAATATTAATTATTGTTACCTTTATATATTTCACCCTAATGATAAAAGTTTCTTATACTTTGAATGGAAATTAGATTTACCACAAGCCAGTAAACTAATCACTTTCGGTGATTCAAAATCACTACCATGTAGGATTATTAAATTGTTACTAAATACAGTAATCTAATCACCTTATGTAAATCATTATAATTTTTTGAATGCAAAAGCTATCCTATTGTTATTCCATCCATGATTTATATACTATATATATAAAGACTTTACAAATATGTTTACGAAAATTTATCTGTATTAAAAGTGAAAATTAAATATGAAATTATTTTTTTTCCTTGAAAAGATGAAGTTATCATATGTTTAATACATGATTATGCGAAAAAAATATTAATTAAATTTGGAAGTTTTCAGACCGTAAGTAGATAAGGTAATAATTCTAATTTTTCCTAGAAATCAAGACATAAACTGATGCAAATAAAATTGTATCTTTTTTCTAGATCATAAAAGAAAAATACTTCTTTTTCTTTTAAATTTTAAGCGAAACGAAACAAGGGATGTAAAGTTATTAAATCATGACATAAACCTAATTAATGGAAAAGTTGCTGCTAAAGTAGAGCTTATAAAAAGGGGTATTTCGGTTATTAATTCTGCCCTTTTTTTGTTATTTGGATAGAAAATTCGAACCATATTTTTTTTCTCAACTGCTTCGACTCTTTGAAAGTTTGGATATGTTGCTGCTACTTTTGGAGGGTTAATTGGGTTGTCCCTACGGATAAAGTTTCTTATTTTCTTTCTTGGCAATCTTCATCACCTTCTAAATGTAGCGATGGAATTTGGAGAACGCTTTTCTTTGCTGTCACTCGGTCTCTTTGGCTCCATCGTAATGATACGACTTTCAATGGAAAGCACACTCATCTTATGTAGGTTGCCGATACTATCAAGGTGCGCTTTGCTTATTGATGTCAAGGTAAATGGGCTTCTTTGGCTGCCTTGATTAATGACTTCTTTGACATAATT